CCTGTGTTCATGTAGAATATACAACCAGTGTAACTCCACACCATATATAACCACAAGAATGGGATACTAATTAGAATAAGTTATATTCCATGTATGTATAATATGTCAAAATACACTCTACTGTTATGTATACCTAAAAAGAACAAATAAAAAATTAAACTGACAAAAACATCCAGTTTCCAACAATAACGACAAAAAGTAAGACATACAAAAAAAAAAAATGAAGTGCTACCCAAACACAGGATGGGGGCTTAGCAGACAAAGATTACAAAGCAGCTATTGTAAACATGCTTAGGAAACTTGAGGTAATCATGCTTACAGAGATAGAGGGGGAAAATGACAGTATCTCATATGAGAATATCAACACAGAGAAATCATAAAAGTGAAACAACTGGGAATTCTGGAGTTGAAACAATACAGAATGAAACATTCATTTGAGAGTCAACAATAGATCTGAACCGGTGGAAGAATTAGGAAAGATAAATGGACAGGAATTATGCATGTGAGCATGTCATTTTGGGTCCTGTGAGCCTTCCTTAGCAACTGACCTTGGACTAACAGGGCTGAGACAGTGTACACCACCTCCTTTTGTAACATGGTGTTCTGTAGCTTTGGGCCTTGTGGCCATTTCTCAATGTGCAGCCTATTCCTCTCTCGAGTTATCCGTCCATAAGGCACATATTATTTTGTTACTTTTCATATTCAGTTGTCTTTTTTCCTTCCCTTATTTTCTCAGTTAATAGCCTTCTGTGTGCTTCTTGGTTTCTATTTCTCTTGGGTCCACCTGCACTTTAGTCTCCAGTGACCTCTGGTTTTCAGAGTAGCCTAGCAGTAAAGTCTTTTCCAGTTAATTTTAATAAAGGTGTAATTATATTCTTCCCAAACCTATGATTTATTATCTTCTATGATATCTATGTGCCTCCTGTTTTGAGAGCATATGCTAAATCAACAGTTTCTCACATGTACTCCCATCAGAATAGTTCTCTCCCATGGAGATGTTGCTTTTCTAAGGGTTTATATTAAACTTTGGTCTACATTTTTGTCTAACAATGATGTGCATTCTGTGTGTGCAGTAATGTGTGCCCATGTGTTCTTGCTTTACTAGTACCTCTTTCACATCTCTAAATTCTTCCATAGTCATCAAACTTTTTTTGTGGGAGGGTGGCCATTTTCTCTTATATCCTTCATATTTCATGACTATCATTTGCCTATGCCTATATAGTCTAAATTTAACATTCTGTCTAGTGCTATCATATTTCTTTTAAATGCTTTTATTAGTACATAAAACTCATTGGTTTTGAAAATCCATATATAGGCATTTGGCTTCTGATATCCCATCTTTCTTTCATGTCTGACTTACTTCTACCATGGTCACAGATTTGTTAATTATCATAGTTGATCATATTACATACATCTCCTGTTATTTGAGTTATGTAATCCTCTCAGTTGATTGGCTCAGCAAATGCAAACTTTCTTTCATTGCTCAAAGAGCACAAGGATTAAGAGGTATAGAAGAAGAGGGTCTTCCTCTCACAAAGCAAAAATACTAAGTAAAATTATCTAGATAAAATAAATCCCAGGGAGCAAAGACAAAGGCAAGGATTCGTTCATATTCCAATAAACACCAAAAAGCAAAACTATAGATAATAAAATGGGTCAGCTTGAGGCAATTATCTAAATTTTGGGTGCTACAATTTTTAAGCTATCAGCATTAATATTGTTGCCAAAATTAAAATCAGATACTTGTAAGAGGGATATCGTCTTATTTTACAGAAAATTTATTAGACTAACAATTTATAAGTATTTATACCAAGCAGCAAGTACGGTGCTTGCCAACAAATCCTTTCTGAGAGCTAACACAGGGGAACTTTTCTGGTTGGTAAACTCAAGTCAAAAGATAGAGCCAAGAGCAGCAGCAGAAAGAGAAGTTGATGTGCTTCTTTGGGGAGCTCCTGTGGTGGGCATTAAGGAAGTGATGAGGGTACTGTCTGGGACTGAGAAGTAGCCCTGGTGATCCTTACCTTCTTTAGGCACCCACATCATATCTAGCTCTTAATATGGTTTCTAGCTGTCCCTTACTGTACTAAACAGGCTTCGCCAGAGGTTTTCAACTAGTGGAGTCCTAAGCCCAAGAGCCCACTATCCTGTGGGGACGGACCTGCTAGGGATCCTTCACATTCCAGTGTTACATGCTCAGATTCCAGAAGTCCTAACCCAATGCTGCATTTCTCCATGAAGAGAAGGGTTAGATGCCAGCTTATCAGTGCTATGTACTGATAATAAGGAACAAAATGGGCAAAATAGGCTTCTATGAGGTTAGGCTCTTTGTGCAACACCACTTCTATGGCCATCAGAGAATTCTAAATAGTGAATGAGGGTCATATCACACAATCCATTTGTAAAGTGGATACAACTGCTTATATATACAACCTCCCATTTGCAGACACAGTAGCTTGTTGTGTGAGCAAAACCTTTTAAGTACAAGGAAAAGTTAACTTTACACAGAAAAACCTGGCACACGCTACACCAAACAGGTGGTCAAGGTTGGTTAGCACCGTGACCCTTCATGTTGACAGCATATGGTCTTGCTGAGAATGACATTTACCTCTGTAGGCTTCTTACCAAAAGCCTGCTGACACCAGTATAACCATGACAAGAAAATCTCAGACCCAAATTGAGGGATATTCTACAAAATACCTGGCAAGTACTCCTTAAAAATTGCCAAGGTAATCAAAAATATATGAGAGGTCAGAGAAATGTCCCAGAGCAGTAGAGATTAGAGACACAACAGTTAAATACAGGATGGCATCGTGGAAGGGATCAGGGGATAGAAAAGGTATTAGGGAAAAAATAGTGAAAAGCTGAAAAAAAATTTACTTAATATAAATGTATCAGTGTGACTTTGTTATACAAACATACCATAGTAATATATGATGTTAACAGGGGAAACTGGATGAGGAGCATATCTGGGCTATAACTAGATATTCTGTACATCTAAGCTATTCCAAAATGTATTTTAAAAAGGGCTCTGGGACAATTTTCTTTTCGTCTGTGCTTTTCTGAAAAATCAAACATGTAGGAAGAGATGCTTTTTGGCTCTCATTTCCTTCTTGGCACTGTTCAGTAAGCACAAGTTGCATCCAGGTGTCAGAGACTAAGGAAGAACAAAACTATTCCCTCAGCTGCTGACACCTCCTGCCAGGGTTAATGATGTATGCCATCAGTGATGGTACCATGACACAACTCTTATCCAATGGTGGGTTTTTATTCTTGCCTCTTGTCTTTGGCAGTGATGCCACTAAATTAACTGAAAACAAGCCAGTATCAAAGAAATACCTATTTCCAATCAAGGTTAAAGATATACCATCATTTTCCCTCACACTATCCTTTTACCCAATATAAACAAGCAATAAGGACTAGAGAAATTTTTCCAAGAGAAACTGACTTACTGTCCTCATGTTCAATCTACCTGATCAAACTTACAAAAAGAAACTTGACCAGGGTTAAGAGAATTTTTTTATTTTTCCAGGTTTTCAAAATGATTCCACTTTCTTCTTCATGCTAAACAAACCATAAGCCTGAAATATCACAGATTAACCAAATGTTTTATTGGCCAAGACTATATTACATTACATATTTTCCCCCAAATGAGTCTGCTGCTCAGTACCAGTGCTGTGCTTCTGGCATGAAGTAGCCCTTTCCATTGCAATTCTAAAACGTGCTGTCCTAGCTGGTCCAAAACAGCTCTGATTTACAGAAGTGTACAGTGTGAGAAGCCATTATGTTTAAAAATTAAATTAAGAGGATACTCAGGTTATATGTGCACAAGAGGGCTAAGGATATCTGTCTTAAAATCACTCAAAAGTGTAACAACAACACAAGTACTGCTACCACCTACACATACACAATGTTAGATAGACAAAAACATAGAAAAATGCCCAAGAATGTCATGGGCCTTAGCAATGCAGGGCCAGATTAGCAGGAAGGCCAAGAATCAAAAGCACCAAGTTTAAGGAAACCAAGAGAAGAACAGTCACTCATTCTGACAATGGAAGTGGCCATGCGCAGAGCAAGTGTGGCTGGCTCCTACCAGAACTCACCAGCACTGATGAATCATCTGTTTGCATGTCGACTCACGGGTGTTCCACATAGCTCAGAGACAATTCAAACATTTATTAGTACTGTCCACAGAATTCAAGTTATTCTTACACTTTCAAAACTCAACAGTCTACAGTGACTTAGTCTATAGGTAAATACTATCTTATATATTTTCTATAAAATTTTTAATATTACACAAAAAACACAGGTTCTGATGTCTCAGTTCTAGGTAAGGATGTTAACCTCAGTTCTGAAACTCATGTATTTCCTCAGAATAAATTATCTGAAGACAAACTTTCAATATTTGTTGAAAAATGCTACTTACTCAAAATATAAAATTTTAACCAAGTTATTTGATGTTTAATGCAGTTCTCTTTGTGGTAAAGGCTTTTTTTCCCCCTGAGATTTCTCTGGCTCTTAATAAAGGCTTCTGGTTATTAAGATGTTGATGACAGTATTGTCCTGAGACAGCTCTGATATGCAGTAAGTTGAATTTGTATAGGTCTTCAGACATTTAATATGTTCATAGGGTTTCACTCCACGCTAACAAGAGAGTAGGCCCAACGATGTGCATTTAACAACAGACCAAACCTGTAAGAGCCTAACATAACACACTAATCTTTATTTAAAAAAAAAAAAAAAGGAAAGTCAAGTACTGAAGACCTGGAAGTGGAGAGTTGTCCCAGGCACTCTTGTTTCCTTTCCCTGTCTGCCACGTCCCAACGTGGCACTCAGGTTTGCTGTGGCAGTCGTCTCCACCCCACTAACCATGGACCAGGGAGAATGCAAGGTGATTTTTAAAGGACTGGGCTTAAATGTGATATTTGGTGTCACATTCCCTAGCCAGCCCCACCTGGACCAACACTATAGGGAAATCTCATCAAGCTATACCTTACTGTGCGTCATGCAGTAAGGCAGGAGTTCCCTGAGGGCTTTCCAAACTCATTCCACACTGGGGCTTTTGCTCTGGTGTGCATCCTGGTGCGATGGACCCTAAGAGCTGCCTTACGGACAAAAGTTTTTCCACACTCATCACATTCATAGGGTTTGTCCCCTGTGTGAATCCTCTGGTGCACCCTGAGAGTTGAATTCTGGGCAAAAGCCTTCCCACATTCATTGCACTCGTAGGGCTTCTCCCCTGTGTGAATTCTCTGGTGTGCACCAAGGTGCGATTTCTGGGAGAACGCTTTCCCACACTCACCACACTCGTAGGGTCTCACACCTGTGTGAACCCTCTGGTGCACCCTGAGAGTTGAGTTCTGGGCAAAAGCCTTCCCACAGTTGCTGCACTCGTAGGGCTTCTCCCCCGTGTGCACCCTCTGGTGGGCACTAACATACGACTTCTCGGAAAAGCTTTTCCCACACTGGTGACACTCGTACGGCTTCTCCCCCATGCGCGTCCTCAGGTGTGCTCTGAGGTGTGACGTCTTGGAGAAAGCCTTCCCACACTCAGTACACTCGTAGGGTTTCTCCCCTGTGTGAGTCCTGTGATGCGCTCGGAGGGCTGAACTATCAGCAAACGTTTTCCCACACTGACTGCACCCGTAGGGCTTCTCCCCCGTGTGCGTTCTCTGGTGGGCGCAGAGGTGTGTCCTTTGAGAGAAGGTTTTCCCACATTCGCTGCACTCATAGGGCTTCTCCCCTCTGTGAATTCTCTGGTGCACAATGAGGGCTGCCTTGTAGACAAAACGTTTCCCGCATACGTTACACCCATAGGGCTTTTCCCCTGTGTGGGTCCTCTCGTGTCCACTGAGGTATGATTTCTGGGAGAAAGTTTTTCCACATTCACTACACTCATAGGGTTTCTCCCCTGTGTGAATTCTTTGATGTGTGCTGAGGTGTGTTTTCTGAGAAAAGGTTTTCCCACACTCATTACATTCATAGAGTTTCTCCCCTGTGTGGATTTTCTGATGTGCTCTGAGGGCTGAATTGTGGGCAAAAGTTTTCTCACAGTCACTGCATTCGTAGGGTTTCTCCCCTGTGTGAGTCCTCTGATGCACTCTGAGGGCTGAATTATGGGCAAAGGTTTTCTCACAGTCATTACACCCATAGGGCTTCTCCCCCGTGTGAATTCTCTGATGGGCTCTGAAGGCTGAGTTATAGGTAAAGGATCTGCCACATTCATTACACCCGTAGGGCTTCTCCCCTGTGTGAATTCTCTCATGGGCTCTGAGAACAGAAACATGGGCAAAAGATCTCCCACACACATGACACGCATAGGGCTTCTCGCCTGTGTGAATTCTCTGATGTGCCCTGAGGGTTGAAGTGTCAGCAAAAGCTTTCCCACACTGGCTACATTCATAGGGTTTTTCCCCAGTATGAGTTCTCTGATGTGCACTGAGATGTGTCTTGTGAGAGAAAGTCTTCCCACATTCAATGCATGCATGGGGTCTTTCACCCCTGTGAGTTCTCTGATGTGCTGTCAGATGTGACGTTTTGGAGAACGTTTTCCCACAGTCAGCACATTCATAGGGTTTCCCACCCGGGTGAACTTTCTGATATTCCTTAAGATGTCCCATCATGGAGGTTTTCGCATACTCACGGCTGTGGCAGATCTTCATCTCTGTGTCTGTTCTCTGCTGTCCAATGGGGGGTGGTGTGTGACATTTCCTGCAGTCGTTGTTACCATAAGGTTTCTCCTTTGTGTGAAGCCTCAGATGTTCACTGAGGTTTGACTTCTCACAGAAAGTGTTCCCACATTTATTGCATTCAGAGAGTTTGGACGCCATATGAGTTCCAGGATGCTGACTAGGGTGTGAATGTGAACAAAAGAATTTCCCACATTCCTCACATTTGTAAGGGTTCTCCCCTGAGTGAGTCTTCTGATCCTGAATGGGGTGTGCTTTCTGGTAAAAGGATTCCCTGCATTTCCCGTACAGACCTGACTGGCAGGGTTTCTCTTGAGTTTGCTGATGTGTGATAAGGCCTAATTTCCGGAAGAAGGTATTAGTACATTCAGGACATTCACAGAAGTTATCTCCAATTGGCTTCTCCTGATGTACTATGTGGGCCGGACTTTGGCTCAAGTTTTCTTCACATGGATTGCTTTCAAGAGCACTCTGTCCTGTAACAGGTCTCTGAGCTTGAATTAGGGGTAACTTCCCACATAAATTAATACCATTTTTATCACATTCCTGGTGTGTTACAGCCAGGTAAACTTTACTGTACTCCTCGATGGTGGATTCGCAGCAGAATTCCCCACAGTCACTAACATCAGAGCACTTCTCCCTTGGGTCAGCTCTCGTGTGGCTAAACAGAGTTGTCCTATCACAGTTTTTCCCAAGCTCATCATCCTGACAGCACTGCTCTTCTGTTGGAGAACTCTCAACTGTAAGGCAGACAGTTTTTTCATACAAAATTTTCCCAAACTCACTGCATTCAAACAATTGCTCCAATGTTTGAAATCTCTGATCCTTATCTTTCTTAACACTAACTGTTTTCACATTTTTATTATATTCATGAGATTTCTCTCCAGTATGAGTGTCCCTGTGTTTAATAGAAAGCTGCAAATTTTCACATACAGTCATGTAATCAGCCTTCTCTCTTGAATAGTCTCCTTCACTAATAATTAACTCAGAAATAACTGGAAAATTCATTTGACATGAATCATGTTTATAGGTTATTTTTCCTGAAAAACCTGAAGCTATGCCCAAATTAAATGGTTTTTCTAGAACTTTCTGTCCTTCCTTACTCAGTGTTTTATCACCAATGAATATTACTTGCCACAGAGGCTTCCCTTGTTTGTTTTGATTTCCCTTGATGTGGACGTCTACTTTGTAATAACCTAAAATGAGAAAAAAATGGAAACATAAATCTTACATTTCTTATGTAAAGGAACTTTAACTATTTTGTGTTACATATTTTATTCTGATGTTTCTGGTCATGCATCCAAGATCAATTCACACACACAGAGACAGCCATTCTCCTCCCTCATCCATGGATGTTGGGTTTTTTTAAAAGCACGTATTACTTTCAGTGAGAGCCAAAACAGAATAGCCTCATTCCTCCAAGGTTCTTCCTTCTGACAACTGAAAACCCAACAAAAGAAAAGTAACTACATGTGAAAATGCTTCAAAAAATGTAAAGAAAGTGGACCTCAGAACTTAAGAAAATGACACAATGGAGAATTCCAAGGCTTTTTTTCCTACTTCTTAGATGTACTATACTGTACACTGAAGAAGCCAATGATATGAAGATAACAAAGATACAGACAAAAATATGCTCTAAGAAAAGTCTATTCATTCTAGTCAATGGTCTCAAAAGGTCTAATGAAATAGAAACTTTTTTGGACAAACTCCACCTACTCAAGCCAAACAAAACTACAGTTCCACAGAGGCTGAGCAGGAAGCAAAATCTTCCAGGGCCAGAGACACAGAAGACAGGCAGTTTTGTATTTCCCTTCGTGAGCCAAATGACGAGTTTATAGGAAAGATGATGAAGGATACAAAGAAAGTTCCATTTTGGAAATATGCTGGGAGATGGTGATAGCAGCCACTGACAAACCCCACCTGCAGCCATATTCTTACTAATTTATAAAATAAAGAATCTCAAGAACAACAAATATTTTGTTTTAGGGCACCAGTGGCAATTCACAAAAGATAGAGGAAAGAAAGAACAAAGAAAACTTAAAGCACAGAAACAACAGGAAGAAGTACATGGTAAGCGTGACCCCACAGGTAGGAAGATGAGGTTGCACTTAGATAACCACACTTTCAAGACCTGATGACACAATGCGTTCAATAATAGCTGGATTCACATTCTTCTCAAATGACATGAAACATCCTAGGATAAAAGAAAAACCTTCACAAATATAAAAGAATGGAAATTATACAAGGATGATTTCAACCTCCAGAGAAATTATACTAGGAATCAGTAAACAAAGGTATACAGAGAAATAAAAATATTTGTAAACTAGGCACTTTTGAATAACTCAGGAGTGAAAGTGGAAGCTTACAGAAAACATTTCTGAAGTGAATAGAAACAAACAAAACATAGGAATTTGTGGGCTGCAGCTAAAGCAGTGCTCAGAAGTAAACTCATGGCTTAAAATGTTTCACATTAGAAAAGAAAGATCTACAGTCAGTTACCTAAGCATCTCCTCTAAGAAACTAAATAAAAAGAGGAAATTAAATCCAAAGAACAAAGAAGGAAGAAAATAGCAAAGATTAGAGAAGATATTGCAATTGAAAACAGAAAATAACACAGAAGGTTAATCAAACCAAACTTAGTTCTTTGAAAAGATTTTAAAGTTTTCATTAAAATTAATAGGAAAATCAAAAGATACAAATTATCAACATCAGAAAAACAAGAGGGAGATGTGCTTACTGACACAACAGACATTGAAGAGATCATAAAGGAAGGTTAGCAAAAACTCTTATATTAGTTCAGGTTACTATTACAAATCGCCATAAACTGGGTGACTTAAACAACAAATATTTATCACAGTTCTGGAAGCTGGAAGTCCAAAAAGAGTGCTAGCCTGGTCATGTTCTGTCAGCACTCTCGTGCACTAGACCACTGACTTCCTGTTATTTATTCACACAGTGCAAAGAGGTACTAGTTGCCTGGACTCTTCTTGTAAGAGCACTCTAAACTCTTCATGGAAGCTCCACCTGCATGACTTAACTACCTTCCAAAAGTTGCACCTCTAAATGGAGACATCAGGATCAGAGTTTCAACATATGACTGGAGGAAAGGGAACAAATATTCAGTCCACTGCAAACTCTATGCCCACAAACAATTCACATAAATAATAAGCAAATTCCTTAGAAAAAAACAAACTTCTAAATTCACTTAAGAAGAAAGATAACCTAACCTAAATAATTATACACACAAATGCAGAATATATATATAAAATATGCAGTTTACATATTATACTATATATACACATATGTAATAAACTACATAATACATATATGTAGCATGATACATAAATAAAGGAAATAAACAAAAAGTCTATAACATCAGGCTTGAGAGTAAGAGACTGAATGATTTCTAAAATTGGGAAAAATAAGAGTGGCATCCATACTCACCACCTTTACTCAAGACTGTACTAGAATTATCAGCTAGTGCAATATGACAAGAATAAAAACAAAAAGATGTGGAGTAGTTCTATTAAAAAAAAAATCCACACAAACAAAATAATCTACAAACAAGTTCTCTGAACTAATAAGAATTTTAGCAAAATCAAAATACAAGGCCTGTATACAATCCTATGCCTATAAACAAACAATAATTAATGGGTTGGAATTTGAAATTACAGCAACAATATTATTTAGCATGTCATCAAAACTATTTTTAAAAATCTTGATATTGATAACCTGAAAGCTGCAAAACACTGAAGAAGGAAATCCTAAATAAATGAGGAGAGACACTGGTAATTCTCTTCAAGTAAATATAGAGATTCAACACAATTCCAGTTGAAATGCCAGCATGCTTGTCTTCCTTTCTCTTTTTCTTTTAATAAGGAAAGGAGATCATTTTAAATTCATAGAGAAGATGAAAATTAGAAAACTACCTGATTTCAAAAACTTCTTTCATGTGTGTGTGGTGCTTGGGATCTAAGCCAGGGTAGGCAAACACTCTACCACTGAATGCTTCTCTGGTCTTCTATACAGTAATCAAGATAATACAATGCTGGCATAGGACAGACATGTAGATGAATAAAATAGAACAGAGACTCCAGAAACACACTCACAAGTATACATTCACTAATATTTCTGTTTGTTTACTTGTGGTTCTGGGGATTGAACCAGGGCCTTGTGCATGCAAGGCAAGCACTCTACCAACTGAGCTACATCCCCAGCCCATTTTTATTTCTAAGTAATGCAAAGACACAATTTGATGGAAAAACAGCCTTTTCAACAAATAGAACTAGAATAACTGGACTCCCTATTTTAAAAGTTTAAAACGTGACATACAACTCATATTTTCTATGTAAGTTAATAATCAATGGATCATAATCTAAGTGTAGAAAGTTAAACTTTAAAATTTCTAAAAGAGAGCAAGAATAAATCTGTGTTACTTTTAAGTTCTGAAGGTTATAGACAGAAAAAACAAACCATGATCCATAAGATAATTTTAATAATTGGACCTTATCAAGATTAATGCTCAGTTTTAGCCAGCCACTTTTGAAACCATACCAATAGGAGAAACAGGTGGCAACATCATTACCTGCCAAGTGGGAACAGACGTCCAGACTCCTGGCCGATCTCCACTGGCACCCTGGGTTAGGAGACAGCCTCCACATTAACACCAGGCAGAGGTGGGAGATCAGGCATCCCACAGGCATCTGCTGACACTAACTGTCTTCCATTTCATCAGGTGCCAAGGCCCCTAGTTCATCATCCTTCTCTCCACTTTGCAGGATTTCTGTGTGTGTGTGTGTGTGTGTGTGTGTGTGTGTTTTCACATAAATACATACATCTGAACTCGGGGTACAGTAGGAAGGAAAATGCTTACTCTACTTTTCCTCAATCCTTTCCTAAGAATAATCATGAACCTATTGTATATAGTCTTGTAGGACATTTCTAATTTACTTTGATAACCAGCTATTTAAGTCATTTGGATCCATTTTTTTGTGTTACTTTTAAGTTATTTCAAGATCCTATCCCCAATGTCCTAGAGTGCCACTTGAGACCAACTGTCTTAAAGCACGTGTTTGCTTGAGCTTTCCACCCTGTTTCTCTAATTTATTAGACGATCTAACTCCTGACCCAAGTACTCCACTGCTCAGAGCTTTGCCTAAGTCTCCATATCTGGTAGACCAAGCCCTCCTGTATCATTCTTCTTTATGAATGGGATATTGTCTAGTATGGCATTAAATCTATACATATATATCCCCACTTGAGTTTACCATGTAGGTATTCCTTCTCTTTATCTTTATTAGGGTTACCTAAAGTTTGACCCATTCTGTTGTTTTTTATTCTAAGAAATTGTCCATTCCTTGGTTTTATAGTTTATTAATTTCTGATTTTACTTTTAAATTCTTCTACTTTCATTAGTGTATTTTTGTTACTCTTTTTGCTTAATTTATTAAGCAAACTTACTCCTGTTAACTAATTTAGCTATAGTTGAAGGTTCCTAATATACAACCACATATATTCAAAAGTATGCAATTTTGGATTTCCTTTTATATACATTGATTAATAAAGATAATTTTTTTAGTTTTCGTGTAGCACTTTTGTTTATTCATTTTATTAATTTCTAGATTTATCACACTATATTCAGAGAATATTTGTGGCGATTCTAATTAGTTAGAATAATATTACATTTTCATTTTCTTATGATTATTTCATGGGAATAATCTTTGCATTCAGCATCCATAAATTTATGGTTCACTTGAGTACAATGCTATTTATATTTCCTACAGTAGTACTACTGTTTAATCAGATGACATATATTATGATGTCCTAATTCTAATGAGTTTTAGTTTCTTAGGACTCCACTATTTGGTGATTTTTTGAATACTGATATTATTTTATTTGGTATAATCATTCAGATGCTTAAAACTTTTTTTAACCCATGTTTTTGAGCAAGAGAGGTTTCCTTTCTTTTTCAAGTCCAATGACCAAACGCACAGCCTTGCCAGTGCTAGGCAAAGGTCTGCCACTGAGCTAAATACCCAACCCCAAGGGGCTTCTTTTAATTCAATGTACTTTAACTTGCTAATGCCAAATCTGAATAACAACAGGAGATGAAACCTACATTATTTTATTCTTATTGACTTAACAACTTTACCATTCTTTTATGCTCCATCTAAATTAGGCCAACCTTTATGTTATTTGTTTACAGTCTTCTCTTTATAAGTTATTTTTCTGAGACATTTGTTACAGTGACAGACAGCTGGATTAGTATCCCACTCAGGGTTTAAGGACCCCAGTTCTCTGATAATGCTCACTCACCTGGGTACTTGTGGCTTAGGAATCTGTCCTCTAAAGACCACGGTTCTTCTCCTTGCTCCAATTTGAATATCACCTTGGGCTTGGTAATGCAATACCCTATAAATAGAATAATTGAGGGTGCTTATGTACCAGATCCTCAGTCTTTTGGGTTTGCAAAAAATGGGTTAAAAAAAAACAGGCAAGTAAAGGTGCTCAAGTAAATGTGCTCAACTGAAGTGTACTATTTCTGTTTTGCTACAGGTTTCAATTACTTTAGACCTCTTAATCCAAAGCTTGATTACCAATGTTCATCTCGATAGAGTCCATGTGTTTTGATAATTAGAAAACAAAAAGGAAATATATTCTAGAGGGAGTCACATGGTCAGGTCTGCTCACCCACGGAGACCAGGTGGCTGTAGTTCTCCAGCATCACCTCTCTGTACAGGGTCCTCTGAGCAGGGCCCATGTGCCGCCACTCCTCCGGGGAGAGTTCCACAGTCACATCCTCGAATGACACTGATCCCTGTGTCAAACATTTTGTTCAAGGGCTCAGAATTAGATAACAGAAAAAAAAAAATGCCTTTGAGAACTACTTTTTCTATCTGTTCTGGAGCTCAAAACTGAATGGTTTTATAAAAGGCCTACCCTGGACCTAATTTTGTTGTAAACTTTGGTATTACTCAATTAGTTAGATAAGCTTTTAGTGTACTGTAATTCATTTATATACATAAATGAATTACAGATTTTCAAAGACCAAAAAAAAAAAAAAAAAAGCCAATGTAGATAGACATTCTACAATTATTCATTCACATCCCAATGGGTCACCCTAGGTATTCTCTAGGATGTTCACATTTTCCTTGGACAGCATCATATAACTAATGGAAGCCAACAAAGAGATCCATATATGCTCTGTAGACCTTGCACCTGACAGAACTCAAGTAGAAAGATATATAAATCTAGAGCACCCGAAGAGGAAAGAACAGTTTACAAAGGAGTTGGAACCAGAGTTGGAACACTACCTATACTAAAATAATAGTAATGTGATAATAGGAATAGATCACACAGGAGGAAAAAAATCACCATGTGGTTAACAACGTTCTCATGTAGCTACCCGGTCCAGATGCTTAACCAGCTTTTAAATTTTTTAATTTTATTTAAAAAAATAGTGCCAAAAATTGATATGGTGGTGCAAAAAACTTGGTATTGGAGAAACAAAAGTAAAAAATGCATTAGAAGTTGTAGTGAAATGGATCTGTTCATGCAGCTACTAAGGGTCCATAGAACATAAAGACAGAAAGGTCTCTTAAATAAGTATGCACTTGATTTTAGGGCAGAGAACAGATAGCTAACTTGAAGGTGGTATTTTTAGAGTTAATAACAATTTAAGTGCTATCATCAGACAGCTCCCAGAGCACATAGGGATTAAGGAAGAAAAAATACAAAAATAACAGCTAAAGAACCAGGGTTATTAAAAAGGCTGGTAGAAAATGTACAGGTCACAAAGCCAGAAGAGTTTCCTGCAAACTAATAACAGAATTAGGAGAGGGTATCTTAGAAGCCAAGAAAAGGGAAATTTCCCACAACAAAAAACTTCAAATTCAAGCTAACAAGTGTTAAGAGTGAAATAGTAAAGATCCAAGAATATTCTCTCTTCACAAAAGCAATAAAAATCTAGTAAAAAGTGAAGAATCAACTTTTTCAGACCTCTGTAAGCTAATCCAAAATTCACAGCAATCTGAAGAGCTGTTATAAAAGAAAAACAGCAGCATCATACTAAGAACTGTGATCTTGGGACATTTTAACTTGTCCATCTCCATGTCTTTCCCCTCAATTCTGCAGTAGCTTCAACTGAGAACCAATGGTCTGAAATACAGTGAAAAATAGCAGTCTGGCAACTAGGAGGAGGCAGATCTGGGTTCACGTTCAAAGCCTCACTCCCAGACACTCACTCATCATTTGACCTGTCTGATAGTTCCCTGCAGAACACACTTGCAAAGCTCAGCTACTTAAAAAAAAAAAAAAAAAGCCTTATCCTCAAAGGCCTTAGTCAAAGGCATTTAAAGCAATTGTTTAACTTAGCAGTGCCCTGGAATGGTGAGAAACAGTGGGAACGTCAGTTTCAGTTTTCAAAAAACTAAAAAAGAAAAAAAGAAGAATGACTTGTGCACAAAAGTCTTGAAAAGTTCCCTTATATTCCTGAGACTCTAGAAGGCTGCCAACATAGAGCTGAGCAGCCGGTCGGGATTGTGAGCATGCTTAGGACAGACAGGAGAAGGCCCAAGGCTACCGTCTCTGCATGACCTGGAAGTCTACAGTAAGCAGAGCATGAAGGCTGGTGCAGAGGTGGAAATGGCCTGATGCTCCTAAAGGAGCAGAACCCTTTGGCAAAACCCGGAAGACATACTGATTTCAGGAATTAAAGAAATTTCTGCAGAGACTTCAGCTGCCTGCCACTCACAACAAAAACACAGGCTCTTCAAAACTAGTTGTTAAAGTCACTGAATAAATAAATTTCAACCCTCACTCCTGTGGAGGGGAGAAATTCTTGATTTCTACAGTTGCCACAGTGTTTTATTTAAAATATCCAGTTTTCAACAAAAAAATTACAAAAGATAAAAATTAAAAAGAAAGTAATATCCATGTGGAAGGGGAAAAGTGCAATAAATAGGAATAACTCCTGAGGAAACAGATACTGGATTAACCAGACAAATGACTTCAAATCAGCTATTTTAAATCTGGTCAAAGACCCAGTGAAAGATGATGTCTAAGGACCAAACTAAAACATGAAAATCACATTTCACCCAATAAAGTATACGAACAAAGTGATAAATGTTATAAAAAGGAATCAAATAGAAACTCTACAGTTGAAAAGTACAATAACTGAAAAAAAATTCATATAAAAATTTGTTCAACAGTAGATGTGAGCAAGTGTGGGGGGGAGCAAAGGACGACATACATGTCTCTTAAGAGTATGCAATGAGGGAAACAAAGAAATAATGACAGAAAATGAGCTGTGGGACAGCATCAAGCTTGTTCTCAGGCAGGATGAGAGTGCCAGACAGAAAGAAGAGTAGGCCTGAAAAGAAATTAAAGAAAACAATAGCAATGAAGTCCCAAAATTCATGATTAGTCTACACCCTGAAGCAGCTCAAAAAACTTCAAATAGGATAAACTTGGAGTAAGAGGCCACAGCTGGACCCTTGATAATCAAAGTGTTAAAAAGCCAAAGACAGACAATCTTTTTTTTTTTTTTTTTTTTTGTGTGGTACTGGGGACTGAACCAGGGACATTCTACCACTGAGCCCCATCCCCAACCCTGTTTATTTTTATTTTGAAACAAATTCTCACTAAGTTGCCCAGGTTGGCACTGAACCTGCCTCAGCCTCCTGAGTAGCTGGGATTACCTGCCTAGGTCACTATAGGCAGTAACAAAGAGATAATTCTAAAATCAGCAAGAGAGAAATGACTAGTCATATTAAAGGTGATTTCTAATGAGAAACCATGAAGACAGAAGTTAATGGGATGACATATTCAAAGTACTCAAAGAAAAAAACTGTCAACCAAGAATCATCAACAGGCAACCAAAACCTCCCCAGAGAAACAAAAACTAAGAAAATTCATCAAAGGCAAAACTGCCCTATGAGAAATAAAAAGGGTGTGGTCCAGACAGAAAGTAGATTAAAGTTGCTTGGGACTTGGAAAGAACACAGTGAGAGTTAGGGGTTTGAAGGCAATGAAAATGTTCTAAAACTAATTGTGGTGATTCCTTCATGAACCTGAGAACACAGTGAAAAATTCCTGAATTCTGCATTTAATTGGGTGAGCAGTATAATACATGAACTAAATCTCAACAAAGCTGAAAAATAAGAGAGGATGAAGTCATCAGAGACAACAAAGAAGACCAAAGGGTCAGGGATGGAGTACAGAGATGAGACGCGTGAAAGGACAAGAGACGATGACTCCCTGAAGACACTGGCAGGGAAAGGACAGGACAGTGCAGAGAAACTTTCCAGGACAGAGTGAGAAGTAGAGGCAAGTGTTGCACAAAAGTTAAGTAAGGAACGGAGGAGGGCCACTGGATGTATTACAACCCACAGGGCCCTGAGATCACAGGCAATCTTCTATGTTTTTAGCAAGTTATTAACTAAATCACCAACTTGAACCTTCCACAAGGAAGCAGTCTGCTTTAGATTTCTCATCAATGTAAATCTTTAAGTATTATCTGTCTGACACTCTGCCATGACTATCAGAAACCTCAGAGAAGTATTGCAGCTCTTTTAGAATTTGTCTAGCAGGTTTTCTGGCTATTGCTGGAAGGCCCCCCCACCAAAAAAAAAAAAACCTCAGAAATAAACTGTAACTTGGCTTGGTAAATTTACAATATTTAAGGACCTGTGTCTATCCATGTGCTACTTTTGACTCTACTGTTGATCAATATTTCCGTACCTTCTATGAAAGTCTTTCTACTTTTTCCACGTTAATGTACAGACACAGAAACCTTTATAAAATCAATTGTAAAACAAACTGGTTATTACAAACCAAACTCACCGGATATGTGTTCATTTTCTGCAGCTCCTGGAAGAGTGGAGGAAACTGAAGATTCAGCTGGGGATAAGAGAAACGGGGGTCATCAGAGACGTAGTTTGCCTTAAAACTGTAAAAATCTCATCATATCAGCTGTATAAAAAAGTTCCTGATGAGGAATAGCCCTTTGACTCTTAAAAGGGACAAGAAAGACTACATAGAGGCAGCAAGAACTAAACACGTGCATCTCGATATGATTATATGTCACCAAGGTGAAAATCGTTTTTTGTTGATATATCAAAAAAGTTAAAATAAAAGAACAGGATTGGCTAACAAAGCTCAACCACATAAGAAATGAAACTCTATCTTCATTAAAACTAGTGTCACAAAAACTACACGGGCTGGCTTATTAAATTCTTACTGTCTTTCCAAAGTTAGAATACACACAGAAAATTCCGAAATAAAGATGGGATGTTTTATGCAATATATTTTTAAACTTTCAATTCTAAATTGGTTGTTGACTTTTTAAAGAAAGACCTTTTGATAAGTTGCTATGGCACTCATCTGTGTAAGTGAACAGCACTCTGCTTGGCTCCTGGTTCTGCCCTGGGTAACTTTAAGACTCAGGATTTTTGAGCTTCCAATATAGAAAACTTCCTCTACTATCATTTTGTTATTCTCTATGTTCAGGAAAGAGGGAGCATCACATAACTCTACATGCCACATGAGATGACTGGCATGGTATGAGACAGCTCAGGATCTGGAAAGGCTGAGGGGAGAATGAAGGAAATGGGATGTTGAAGATTTTGACAGTTGGTTGTCTCCCCCAGATATCAAGCCCTCACCAGCCCTCCAGGAAGTGCCTTTTGCTTTGCAGCCTGGTGGCCATCCATTCCTTTCAACACCAAGTTGAAAACTAGTTCACAGCATCCATGATCACAAAGCCTGTGATGCCACTGGAAGTGGTGGCTTCACCAAGTCTGACTCATGCTGTGTAGGGAATCAAGAACTGCCTCTAACAGAGCAAAGCAGTACCTTCTCCTTTCTAGAATCTTCTGTGTTTGCTCTGAAGCTCTGGGAGGAATCTCGATCAAACTAGCTCTTCTTGTTAGTGGCAGTAGTCACTAGGACTCCCTCTTCCCTGCTTATAAAAGCTGCTTTGCTCCATGGTTCCAGGACCAGACCTGAGGAGCAAATTTGAACCCTCACCGAACACCCTAAACCTGATTCTTCTGGAATTCACTAGAAGTATGCTATCCTTTATTGTAGCCTTATCCACATGCAATTACTGAACACCTTAAATTTGGCTCATGTCCCAAGCCAAAATAATATATTGGATGTACTGAGTTAAATGAAATACATCAGTGAAATTGGCTTTGTCTGATGATTTTTTTTTTCCTGTAGTCACTGAAAACTTCCAAATTTCGTGCATGTTTTGCATTATCTCTCTACTGGACAGCACTGCACGGCAACATCCATCTGTGCCTTTGAGGGCACAGATAGCCTGAAACGTGCAGAGAGCTGAGATCCTTCTGACCCAAGCGCTCTGTGGAGATCCCACAAATCCCAGGATCTGTTTCGCACATGGTGAGATTCTCTCCACAATCTATCACAGTCATCATCCTTGGAGACTTGGGAACAGCCGCTCCACCTAAGTCCTCTGAAGGTTTCAGGCAGGTAGGATGTAAAGAAGAGCCAGTGACAGGGGGTAAAACTGTGTTGGAGGGGTGGGTCCTCTCTCACCTACTTAAGGTGTCCTGGGGCACCCACCCCCATGAATACCTTCCATGTTTTAAAATGGCTTGTTTAATAAACACGTCCCGAAGGTGCAATAAATGCCAAACCAAGAAAACAAGCGTCTCCTGCTCAGGACTACACTTGCTCGGTGCTTGTGACCCGCATTTGACAAAACGTCCTACAGGCAGCTAAGGGGGGTGGAGCTGGCGGTCACAGCCTCCCGCCGGTCACCAAGGCTACCACCGCGCATCCCCCTCTCCGCACCGCAGACCCCGGGCCGCGCGGGGACCTGCGCGCTCGGTCCCCCGCACACGCCCACCTGTCCCGAGGGCCCCACGCCGCGCGGAGCCGTCGCCGGCGCTCTCACCCGGGGGCACAGCGTCTGCTCTCGCACAGAAGCCAAACGGCGGAGGCAGCATCCCGTGCCGGGCGGGGCCTGCGCGTGTGCAGACGGAGCTCCGACCGCCGTTCCCAGAGTGCAGCGCGGGAAGCCCGTGACGTCAGAAACTACACTTCCCATGAGCCTCTGCGCCCCGGGCGCGATTTCGCTCGGCTTCCTTAGACCGGAGGGAGAGTTTGGCCTGAGGTTTGCAGCCTGGGTGTTTCCAGAATATGGGCCTAACAAGCTGCAATGCGTGGTTCCCAATTGGATGCTCTTTGGGAGGAAAAAACAGCTGCAAACAGATGTTAACAGCCGGGGGCATGAATATGGCTGGACATTAAAAGTACTAAGAAAAATTACCGTTACTTGGTGTGATGATATTGAGAAATTGTACAGTTGTGTGTTTGAAGATTAAAGTATTACTTTAAAATGATGCAACGAAACAGAAAGCAATTACGGCAGAATTGTTAAATGCTGCATGTTAATTGTTAAAGATTCAGAATTGTTAAATCTGTATGTGCAATGCTCTTTTACCATTTTCAACTGTTCTCGGTATTTGACTGTTTATGACATACATAGGAAAAGACCTGGAGAGGGGGAAATTGGGGGTAGGAAAGTGAGAAGACCATCCTATCCGTATGGAAGTATGCCTTTAAACTCAAAACTGCCAAGAGAAATAAAGGTACATTCAAATATATCTTGTAAAGAGAACTATGAAATAGTACACCTACTAGCAGTGTTTATCTGGAAGGTGGGCGGAGGGAAGCTAGCTGATCAAACTTACCCAGTCATGCGTGAAAACACATGCAACCCAAAATAAGAAAATGATCATTTCCTCAACCTTGCATTTCCATGAGGAAATCTTCCTTGAAACTTAACGTGTGCATTATGACATTAAAAACAAAAACAAAAAAAACCCTTAGGGACATGTGATACAATAATAGTTTTTTTTTAATTAATAAGCTTTTTTTAGAGCAGCTTTCCATATACAGACAAATCAAGCAGAAAGCCAAAGTCCCCACATACTCACTCTCGTCAGCCTACACTCAGGTTCCCCTACTATTAACATCTTGTATAGAATAGGATGTTTTGTACGATTAGTGAAATTCATAGCTTATGTTACCTTTCACTCTTCGTTTCCTATAGTTCTTTGGGTTTTTTCAAATGCAAAATGGGGTGGAGCATGACTTCCACCGATACAATAACGTAACATTCATTAAAGTTATTTATATAGGGTCTCAGAATCAATGGGGCCTTCGGGTCATTATAGTAATCATCCAAAATTATTTCACATCCCTAAAAATCCTCTATGCTCTACCAATTCACCCTCCCATATATTTTCCTTTGGCTGAATGTTATTTAGTTGGACAGTTGGAATCACACAGTATGTTGCCTTTTCATACTAGCTTCCTTAAAACAGACATGTGAATAATCATTTTCCATATCTTTCCACAGCTTGATATCTCATTTAAAAAAAATCTCTGGATAATACATTCCAGAGTATGGATATACCACAGTTTATCCACTTACATATATAAAGACATCTTTGATGCTTTCAAGTGTTTGCAGTTATGAATAAAACTGCTATAAACTTTTGTACGCAGGCTTTTGTGTGGACCTAGTTTTTCAAACCTGCTAGGTAATTATTAAGGAACACAATTACTAGACTGTGTAGTGAAACTACATTTAGGTTTATTGTTTAAAAATCTGCCAGGCTGTCTTCAGAAGTATCTTTCATTTTATATTCTCACCAGCAATTGCTCCACATCCTTACTAGCATTTAATGTTGTCAGTGTTTCAGATTTTGGACATTTTAATAGGTATGTAGTGATGTGTTCCTGTAAGACTCATAATTTGCAATTCTCTCATAACATGATTCCAGGCTTCTTTTAATATGCTTATTTGCCATAAGCATGTCTTCTTGGGCAAGGTGTCTGTTCAACTTTTTCACTCACTTTTTATTGTCCTATGATTGAATTTTAAGAGTTATTTTTGTATTAGAAATAAAATTATTCAGCCCTCCCGCTGTGGAAGCGGCTGCGGCCGAGCGGCGAGCAGCGTCGCGATGTCGGGGCTGCCCACTAGCCTGGAGCCCCTGCGCCCAGAGCAGAGCGCGCTGGAGGCGTCGCGCGCTCGCTTGGTGCTGGGGCTGGACGTGGGCAGCTCTATGATCCGCTGCCACGTCTATGACCGGACGGCGCGGGTCTGCGGCTCCAGCGCGCAGAAGGTAGAAAATCTTTATCCTCGAGTTGGCTGGGTTGAAATTGATCCTGACATTCTCTGGACTCAATTTGTTGCTGTAATAAAAGATGCTATCAAAGCTGCAGGAGCACAGACGAACCAGATTGTTGGTCTTGGTATATCCACACAGAGAGCAACTTTCATTACGTGGAACAGGAAATCATTTTCACAACTTTATTAGTTGGCAAGACCTAAGAGCAATTGAACTTGTAAAATCCTGGAATAATTCTCTTGTAATGAAGTTCCTGCACAGTTCCTGCTGCACTTCTTCACTAGAAGTAAGCGACTCCTAGCAGCCAGTCGGTTCACCTTCACCACCCAGCAGGCTTCTTTGCGATTGGCCTGGATTTTACAGAACCTGACAGAGGTACAGAAGGCAGTTGAAGAAGAAAATTGTTGCTTTGGGACTATTGATACCTGGTTGCTATACAAGCTCACAAAAGGTTCTCAGTATGCCACGGATTTTTCAAATGCCAGTACAACTGGACTTTTTGATCCATATGAAATGTGTTGGAGCAGGCTCATTACCTCCATGATTTCCGTACCACTCTCTCTCCTGCCTCCCGTGAAGGACACCAGCCACAATTTTGGATCAGTGGATGAAGAGATATTTGGTGTGCCTATACCAATAGTTGCCTTGGTCGGCGACCAGCAATCAGCCATGTTCGGAGAGTGCTGCCAGACAGGAGATGTAAAATTAACCATGGGAACTGGGACTTTTTTGGATATTAATACTGGAAACGACCCTCAACATACTGTTGGAGGCTTTTATCCATTGATCGGGTGGAAAATTGGACAAGAAGTTGCATGCTTAGCTGAAGGCAATGCAGGAGACACTGGAAGTGCCATAAAATGGGCTCAGCAATTAGATCTTTTCACAGATGCTGCTGAGACTGAAAAAATGGCCAAAAGTTTGGAAGATTCTGAAGGAGTTTATTTTGTTCCATCTTTTAGTGGATTACAGGCTCCATTAAATGACCCCTGTGCATGTGCTTCTTTTATGGGTTTGAAGCCTTCTACCAATAAACACCATCTTGTCTGAGCAATACTGGAGTCAATAGCTTTCAGAAACAAACAATTATATGAGATGATGCAGAAAGAGATCCATATTCCTGTTACAAATGTCCGGGCAGATGGAGGAGTTTGTAAGAACGGTTTTGTCATGCAGATGACTTCAGACCTGATTAATGAGAATATGGACAGACCAGCCCACTTTGACATATCCTGTTTGGGTGCTGCTTCTCTTGCTGGCCTTGCTGTTGGGTTTTGGACTGACAAGGAGGAACTAAAGAAATTGAAGCAAAGTGAAATGGTTTTCAAGCCGCAGAAGAAATGTCAAGAATATGAAATGAATATGGAAAACTGGGTCAAAGCAGTGAAACGCCCCATGAATTGGTATAACAAGACATAACACTAAATGAAACAGTCAAGACTGTAGCCGGCTGGTGGATGCCACCTGCAGATTACAGTGCTCAGGGAGGACTGGTACAACAGGGACCACAGAGAAGATTCAAAATGAGCTTCGCAACCTGGGAGAAAAAGTGTTGCTCTTAAAAAACAAAAACAAAACTAACTAAAAAACACTAACTTTTTTTTAATCTTGGTAAAATTATAAGGCGGCAGCAATACCTCAAAACTTCGTCTTCAATTTTCTAGCAAATTCCACAGGATATCAGCCATTTCCAACTGGATTTTGACAGTTATGAGCCCTCCTCTTTTTTAAACTGGGTCAGTGGTACATGGAACATAATTGTTTAGCATCCGAGAGCTAATAATTCTAGGTGAAACACCATTCACATTTTGCTCCAAATTATTGGAAAAATATTTCTTTAATTCTTTACAACTAAGTGGGCCAAACCAGGCATAGTGGAGCATACTTGCAATCCTGTCTATTTGGGAGGCTGAGGCAGAAGGATCAAGGCCAGCCTCAGCAATTTAGAGAGACCCTATCTCAAAATGAAAAGGGCTGGGATGTAGCTCAATAGCAGAGCACCCCTGGGTTCAATCCCCAGTACCAACAAAAAGAAAGAAAGAGAAAATTAAGTGGGATATTTGAAATCCATAAAGCTAAAAAGAAAGAGTAACTGAGAAAATATGGAAGTTTAAAATAATAAAAATTCAAATGTAAAGCCATAATTTTTCAATGTCATATCCAAATATGAGCTCAATGTGCCCTTCTCAGAAAAGCTTATTATTGAGTCAATTTTTTCCTTTTTTGGGCGTAAAGATACTGCCTTAATTTTCCCTTGTCCAGCCAAAATCTAAGCATTCTTTATATGTGGAAAAGCACTGGAAAACTAATTTTAGTTAATGGACTGAAATATATAATGATTTTTAAGGAACACAAAAATATCTTTTAGTTTCTTTCTCAAATAACATTTCTTTCAAAAATTCTGGATGAAGTATAACATTCTATTTTTTTACAAAATGCAGGCAGTTAAAATACATCTTGCCTTTCTTCTCCTGTTCTTTATCTCTCTTAGTTATTGAGATGCTTACATAAGTGTCTTTTGGTTTTATTAAGTGCCTAATTGATAGATTTTAGTTTTAAAAAGGTGCCCTAGTTTATTGGCAATTTAAGACTTGCCTTCATGGTGGTATTTCACTTGTTGGTGTCTCATTCTAATGTTTGTCCAGCCTACTCATCTCTCTGAGCTACATGCAGTGGCACGTAGAATTGACAGGAGTGCATTCACAGTCACAGTTGCCCTTCTAGCCACAGAGCTGGAGATCCACAGAGAGGAGCCGAGTTCATTCATTACTCCCACTGTCAGATTTCATTGCTAGAATCAATGTAAAGGAGAAACCCCAGGCTGAGTATGAAATTGTCGTAAGGCAGCTGACCAGCCCCCAAATCGTTTTTATGTTATTTGTCCCTGCCTGCATTTGGGGATTTGAATTTGCAAGAATGAATGAATGAATTTCCCTTTTTATCAAGATTTATCACATACAAGTCCTGCATGGTAGAATTGGCTATTGTGTAATAATGAAAGTGGGGGAGGAACTGTTCGGGGAATCTTCTTATTGATGCCATTTTTCTCCATTTGAGAATCCAGTTGATAGACCAACAGTTAAAGTGCATTTCTGCAGATTCCATTTCCATGACCTTCAAGTGTCTCTTTCAATGACTAAATGTTACCTGATGGAGGCATTGTAGTAAATACAAGGTATCATTAGCTCCATGAAGATTTGGATATTTTTTTGTTAAACAAAGATGGTTTGGGGGCTGGGGTTGTGGCTCAGTGGTAGAGTGCTCGCCTAGCACGTGCAGGGTGCCATGTTCAATCCTCAGCCCCACATAAAAATAAAACAAAGATATTGTGTCCAACTACAACTAAAAGAACAAAAACAATATTTTTTAAAAAGGATGGTTTGGTTTACTGTAACAAGTCATAGCTCTTTATGTAGATAATATCTTATTATTTTTGTTCTCTCTTTATATCCTTTTTACAAAGTTTAGTGGCCAATTAAAGGCTTCTCTACCAAAATTACATGAAAACTGCTCTTGTTGTGTTAATATTTCTTTTGGCTTCTGCTTCTCAGTGGGTGTGATTTCACGGAAATGATTCTGTCTTTTGGATTAGAATATACTGAATTGTAATATTATTCCTAAAAATTTGTTTCATTTCTTCTGTACATTCTTCTTTCTCAACATTCAATTACAAAACAAAGGAGAAATACCTTTTAGATAATATAGGAAAATAATTTTGAATATCTCTTACTAGAATTGAACTACTCCTTGAAGAGCAGTTGCTAATTTTTTTTTCTTCTGAGAATCTAGAAACTAATCTTTTATTTGTAGTGTTTCTGGCTGTTTTTAGTGACATGATTTAGTAAATCTTTTGTCATATTTAACCAAATTCAGTAATAAGGTGATATTTGCTTTTGTGGTTATAAAAACAATTGATAATGAAAGTCAGTTGAGTGGGAAAAAATCACTTTTTCCATCTGTCAAGTTTACTTTCCATTTTTATGCTAATATTTGAAAAGAATTAAATGTGCTAATGTTCCTCAGCATGTTTTATTTTCCCATTATGGATCTATCAGATAGTTTTAGTTCTTAAGCAGTCTCTTAAGTTCTTAAGGAGGAGAGTGTTCCAAGTTCTTAAGGAGGAGAATGTTCCTGTACAGTCCATGTTAAAGTGGTTCTGATTGCTTTTATACTATAGAATTAATGAGTTTTAAATCCTTTTTATCCACCCATGACCTGGGCTTGCACTCTCAGCATTAACACTTTGGACTGGATAGTCTTTGTTCTGGGGTACAGTGCTGTGCATCAGAAGAGTATCCCCAACCTCCACCCTGTCGCTTCCAGCATCCTCCTCATAGTTGTTATGGCCAAAAAATGTCTCCAAACACTGCCACCATGGGAGGCAAAATCACCCCCATTGAGAACCACCAATGTGGGCTAGGAGAAGAAAATTGAAGACTCAGGAATAGAGTATCATACTCCTGTTCTGACGCTTAGGGGACCCTCACAATATAATGATTGTCCTTTAAAAAATTTTTTTGGTGGTACTGGGGGATCAAACCCAGGGCCTCCATCCTGCTAGGCAAGGACTCTACCCGGAGCTTCATCTCCAGCTGGTAATTGTCTAATATTTTTACCCGCTCATCGCTACCGCAACCTTTGCAGCCTTTGTCGTCTTAATCAGTAGGTCTAGGACTTCAGTTTAGAATTAATGTATTCTACAGACCATCTGCTACTTGATCTGCTTTTTTGCCTCCCTTTCATCTCCGAGCAAGAGATGACCACTCTCTTTTTCTGCCTTCTGTGGAAACCTCCAGACTGGAAGCTCCCTGAAAGCAGGAGCCAAATCTGTTTCTTTCTCCAGAGCTTAACACTGTGCCTTCTTGTTTGTGGGATGAATTTTTGCTTTGTTTTAAAGTGCAACTTTGATTGTATACATATTTTATCTTTGATGTTACATACTTTTGTTGATATGGAACCGTTTATATTTGTTAAAAGTAAAATATGTCTCTGTTGAATTGATAACTTTGTTATAAGAGCTAGAATCCTTGTATTGTTTATTTAAAAATACTTCATATGTCCGTGTATTTGCAAATGTATTTTTATATAGATGTACACCCATAAATACAATTATATTTACTCTTTTTTTTTTTTGGGGGGGGGGGTGTTGGGTATTGACCCCAGGGCCTCATGGGTGCTAAGCAATACCCTACCACTCAGCTGCTCTCTCAGCTCTATTAACTTTTAAAGGTATAATTGAAGCCTTTCTAGTCACAGGGTTTATATGTTTGACTGCAGATGACTAACAGAGATTAAATCAGAACATTGCCAAACACTTAAGTGCTATAGGAAAGGAACTTCAGACATAGCCCTTTCTGCAAGACACACTGGGAACTAGTCTTTAAAATAGTACAGCCCAGGAGGCTGTCAGGAATTTTATAATTCTTTAAGGTGAGAGAAAGCTGTGCTCCAGGGTCCTTCAGATTTAAGTGATTCTAGTGATTCTAGAGTCATCCTAGAGATAGCCTAAAGAATGCTTGACTATACCCGGAAGGAGTCTGAATCCCTTTGGGAAATTTAAATCATTTTTTTTCAAAGAAGAGTTAAAAACCCCAAACATACCTTGGATCTTTAAGACCTACCCAATTCCAGAATCATCATCTCAAATTCCCAAAGCCAGGCCATCTGGTTCACAGTAGTCAAAAATGGGTAACTCTAAACTGGTGGGCAGGGTGGTGCATACCTGTAATCCCAGTGGCTAGAGAGGCTGAGGCAGGAGAATCATGAGTTCAAAGCCAGCCTCAGCAAGGATGAGATGCTAAGCAAGTCATAAGACCCTATCTCTAAATAAATAGAGTACAAAGTAGGGCTGGGGATGTGGCTCAGGAGTTTAGTGCTCCTAAATTCAATCCCCAGTACCCCCTCAAAATGGGTTACCCCCCAAAATAAAGTAGGTAACCCAGAATTGTGGGTTTTTTAAGTTTTGGAGCCTCATAACCATAAATATTTTGGTGCCAGCATCTAAATCACAGGCTATACTGTCACTATATTCCCATAGAATCCTTGGCCCAAGAAGAATTCAAGAATGATCTTGGGTATAGAAAGGATAGAGACATGAACCTGCAGAATCAAATGTTTCTGAAATTCTGTTCTTTTTCTACTGTTGTACCTCCTTTACTATAAATTTGTTATTAAAATGGCTACGTCTAGATAGATATCTATACTGTATAGAGGAAAAATGTTAGAGGGACCCCACCCTAACTAATTCTTGGGCTGAGGGTATAGCTCAGTGGTAGAATGCTTTCCTAGCATGTACAAGGTCCTGGGCTCAATTCCCAGCACTGCAGAATCTTTATGAGAGACACCAAACTTTTCCAGTATGACTGTACCATTTTATATTCTCACCCATAACATGTGAGTGATCCAGTGTCTCCACATTC